GGGGCGCCTGCAGGTGCGCGCTGGCGCCGGGCGCGGCCACCAGGGCGAGGTGGGCGCGCGTCGCGGCCGAGGAGCGGCCCCAGAAGGCGGCGCGCGCGGCGTCGTCGACCTGGTCCGAGAGAGTCTTCTGGTTGGAGTGCGTCTCGCAGTCGAAGCGCGCAGCCTGGTTTGCCCCCGCCACACTTGCGTTGTGGGTCTGGAGCGCCGCCGCCAGGGCCCCGGCGTCGCCCGCGTCGTCGTCTGTGTAGCCCGCGTGCGTGGACCGGCAGAACTCGCTGCTCTTGGCGCGCGAGGACAAGTAGGCCGCCGGCGAGTGCTTCTCAGCGGAGCGCAGCCCCAAGGCGCCCTTGTTCAGTTTCAGCTGCGCTTGGGCCCAGGAGTCGTCGGTGAGGGAAGCGCCGGCCAGCTGTTCCAGGCAGGAGCGCACTGCAGCGTCCATCTCCAGGAGAGCCTCGGTGTGGGCGGAGGGCGGCACCACGCGCGCCGAGTAGCCGAGCTTGCAGTAGGAGGCGCACTGCCGGAGAAGGTGAAGGGCTACCTGAGCGTCCTCCAAGCCGGCCAGTGCGCCCAGGAGCTCCGCTGCCTTCTCCACTCTTTTCTGCGTGTGCTGGAGGCAGAAATCGTCGCTCCCGATGGGCGCGCCGAGGAGCTCAAAGCAGCCGTCGGGGCGCAGTCGGAAGCCCGGTGGGAAATCCGCCGCGGACGTGTTGCTGTCCGCCCCCGCTGCAGGGACCACCTCGCACTTGCCCGGCCCCGTGCTGAGGTTGAGGCCGACTGCTGCGGGCTCGGCCACGACGGGGTGGAGGAAGCGCGCCACAGCCTGTCTGTCACCCGCCACGCAGCCGTCGTCCAGGTAGAAAAAGACGAGGTCCAGGCCGGCGCCCTGGGCAAGCTCCCTGAGGCTGCGGCGTGCCGTCTCCGCGCAGCTTTGGAGTGCCAGGGAGAAGAGCAGCGGGCCAAGCGGGTCGCCCTGCTGGACACCGCACTCGGAGCGCAGCGTCTGCTTGCCGAGGAAGAGTAGCGAGGGGCTGCCGTAGCACCAGTCCGCCCAAGGTGCCAGTGCGGGAAAGTCCTCGCGCACTGCTCTGAGGACGGCCCTCCGGTCCAGGGTGTTGAAAGCGCTCGAGAGGTCCAACTTCACGAAAACTTTGTCCCTGTCGCCCAGGTTGCGCGTGAACCACTGCCTGGCCACGTGGATCGCCGCCTCGGCGCCTCCCGGGACGGCCACGCCCACCTGCAAGGGCGCCAGGCGGTCGCGGGCAGCCTCGGCGACCTCCTTGCCACCAGCGAGGCGCCAGCAAAGTAAGCCGCGACCGCCGCCGGAGCCTGGCCGCGCGCGAGCACGTTGACGAGGCCAGCGAGCTGCTCGACTACCTCGTCCCTGTGGGCTGCCGTCGCCAGGGCGCCCTGCAGGTGTTGCGGGCGCAGGCCAGTGGGGCCGGCGGCCGAGCTGGAAGGCCCGCACTTCCTTTTGGACGACAGAGACGTCGACGTGGGCTGCGGCGGCCGCGTGGACAGCAGGCAGGCTAGCCAGGTCCACAACCGGTTGCTGGCTGCGGGGGTGTTTGCGGCCCATCTGGCCCACGACAGCCGGCGTGACGGACACGGGCGGTTCCGACGTCAGCGAAGCGCAGCTTTTCGAGTAAAGCCCCTCCGAAGCCAAGTCGAGGCAGCACTGTGCTCGGTGAGTCGCCTTGTCCGTTCCCCCTGTCTGGCGCCGCTCTGTCGCCTCCGCCCACAGCGTTTGGCGCTCCCCCTCCAGCCAGCGGCGAAGGCCACAAGAGGCCAAAAACCTAGATGTCCTTCTGTTTTTTCACTGAATGTTGCATTTCCTTCTTTTCGGCCTTCCGACGGCCCGAGACGGCCCAAGAGCCCCCACAGATCGCCGAAAGATCGCCCAAGAGGCCTCCAAGATAGCCCCAGAACGGCCCAAGAGGGCCCCACGACGGCCCCAAGAGGCCCCCAAGACGGCACAGGAGGCTTTTAATACGCCCAAGATGGCCGCCAAGACGGCCCTGGAGCATTCCAAGGGGGCCCCAAGTCGGCCCATAGAGGCCCCCCAAACGGCTTCCGACGGCGTCAGACGGATCAGGGGCCCACCAAGGCGGCCGAACATGGCCCTAAGATGGCCCAAGACGGCCACAAAGGCTTCCAAGAGGGCCTCCAGGAACACCCGAAAAAAGGCCACAAGCATTGATTTCCCATGGTTTTTTGGAGGATTGTGGAACTTGTTGTTTTTCTGCCTTCCGACGGCCCGAAACTGCCCAATCGCCCCCAAGACACGGCCCCAAAAGGCCCCCAAGACGGCCCAAGAGATCTCCAAGACGCTCAAGATGGCCTCCAAGACGGTCCAAGAGCACTCCAAGACGTCCTTCAAGGAGGCCCGAAAGGGTCAACATGGCCTCCAGACGGCCAAGATACTTTCAAGATGCCCACGTGTTCCCCGAAGGCTTTCCAAACTGATTCGGGGAACAAAACCCAAACCGAGAGGGCTCAGCACGCCAGGCACCCCTGCGATGAATCGACAGGGGGCGGCGGATCGAAGACGCCTACGGCGAATCACCGCCGCCCCCTGCCTGTTTGGGAGCGCCTATGTGGCCGAACGTTGAGGCCAGACCTGCCAAGCTATCGGACCATGTGTTCCCCGAATCGGTTTGGAAAGCCTTCGGGGAACACGTGGGCATCTTGAAGGTCATCTTGTCCGTCTGGAGGCCATTTTGACCCTTTCGGGCCTTCTTGGAGGACGTCTTGGGAGCTTTTGGACAGTCTTGGAGGCCATCTTGAGCGTCTTGGAGGCCGCTTGGGCCGTCTTGGGGGCCTCTTGGGGCCGTGTCGTGGGCCTCTTGGGCGATCTTTGGGGGCACGTGGGCCGTCTCGGGCCGTCGGAAGGCAGAACAACAAGCAACTGCCACAATCCTCCAAAAACCAATGGACAATCAATGCTTGTGGCCGTTTTCGGGTCTTCCTGGGGGGCCTTTTTGGATGCCTCTTGGGCCGTCTTGGGCCATCTTAGGGCCATGGTCGGCAGTCTTGGTGGGCTCCTGGTCCGTCTGACGCCGTCGGAAGCAGTTTTGTGGGCCTCTCTGGGCCGACTTGGGGCCCTCTTGGACTGCTCCAGGGCTGTCTTGGCGGCCATCTTGGGCGTCTTGAAGGCCTCCTGTTCCGTCTTGGGGGCCTCTTGGGGCCGTCTTGGGGCCCTCTTGGGCAGTTCTGGGGCCATCTTGGGGGCCTCTTGGGCGATCTTTCGGCGATCTTTGGGGGCTCTTGGGCCGTCTCGGGCCGTCGGAAGGCCGAAAAGAAGGAAATGCCCAATCCGTCAGAAACCTTAGTAAGTGAAGGTTTTTGGCATTTTCTGGCCTTCCTGGAGGCCCTCTTGGGGGCCGCTTGGGCCGTCTTGGGCCAGCTTCGAGCCAATTTCGGCAATCTTGGTGGGTTCCTGGCACGTCTGACGCCGTCGGGAGCCGTTTGGGAAGCCTTTCTGGGCCGACTGGGGGGCCCTCTTGGGGCGCTTCGGGGCCGTCTTGGAGGCCATCTTAGGCGTCTTGGAGGCCATCTTGGGCGTGTTGGAGGTTTCTTGGGTCCTCTTGGGGCCGTCTTGGAGGCCACTTGGGCCGTCATGGGGCCCTCTTGGATGCCTCTTGGGCCGTCTTGGGCCAGCTTCGAGCCAACTTCGGCCATCTTGGTGGGTTCCTGGCACGTCTGACGCCGTCGGGAGCCGTCTTGGGGGCCTTTCTGGGCCGACTGGGGGCCCTATTGGGGCGCTTCGGGACCGTCTTGGAGGCCATCTTGGGCGTGGGCCTCTTGGGCCATCTTGGGGCTGTCTTGGAGGCCACTTGGGCCGTCATGGGGCCCTCTTGGGGACCTCTTTGGCGATCTTGGGTGCCTCTTGGGCCGTCTTGAGCCGTCGGAATGCCGAGAAGAAGCAAACTTCCCAAATCCTTCAGAAACTTATGAAAAATCAATGATGTCGGCCTCTTCGGGCCCTCCTGGAGGACCTCTGGGAGGCCTCTTGGGCCGTCTGGGAGGCCTCTGGGGGGCCTCTTGGGCCGTCTTGGACTCTCTTGGGCCGTCTCGGAGGCCGTCTTAGACCATCTTGGGCGGACTTGGAGGCCATCTTGGGCCATCTTCGCGATTTGTTGAGGATGTCCCGAGCGAAACGGCCGTTTCAGGGAGGATGTTTTGTGGACGTTGCGGTCCTGGGCAATCCTCCCGGGTGGCCGGCGGGACGGGCCGAAGCGGCAGGGGGAGTTCTTTTGGAAAAAGAGCCAAAACCAAAACCGAGAGGTCTAGCACGCCAGGCGCCCCTGCGATGAATCGACAGGGGGCGGCGGATCTAGTGGCCTTCGGCTTATTCCGCCACCGTGCTTGGGTGGTGGGTCAGAGACCTCATGTGTGTTGGTTGGGATCTCGTGGTTGGCCTCTCGGGGGCCTCTGGGAGGCAGTTTTGAGGCGTCTTGGGTGCCGTTTGGGGGCCTCTTCGGGCCTTTCATTGGCATCTTGGGAGCCTCTTGGGGCGTCTTGGGGGCCTCGTCGGGCCTCCTGGGAGCGTCTTAGGGCGGAAGGCTAGATTTTTCAGCCTCTTGGGCCTTCTTGGGCGGCACTTGGGCCGTCTTGGGGCCGTCTTGGGGGCCTCTTGGGCTGTCTTGAAGCGGTCGTCCGGCCCTTTGGGCGGCTTTGGAGCGTCGGAAAGCCGTACGGGCGAGAACCCCCAGAACCTTGAGAAAACACATGGAAATATATTATTTTGGCCTCTTGGGACCCTCTTGGGAGGCCTCTTGGAGGCCTCTTGGGGCGATTTGGCGGCCTGTAGGGCCGTCTTGGGGCTATCGGTAGGCGTCTTGGTCCCCTCTTGGCTTGTTTTTGGGGCCCACTGCCCCCCCATGGCGCGTTCGGTCCGGGTTGCGTGCCGGGTCGGGTCGGGGGGGGGTCGAATTCCAGTTTGGGGTTCCTTGGGGGGGATTATGGGGGGAAAGAATCTCACACGCCTAGAGACCTACAAGGGGTCGGCGGATTACGTTCGGTGTTGGTACCAAAATCGCCACATTGAAGGGGCGAGCCAACGTGTGCAAGAAGATACGGCGAGATTTGCTGCACTCATTGATAACCTTGGTGTTGCTCTCATCAGCTCGCTGCTGACTCTGATGGCCTTCATGCCTATCCTCATTGACCTTTCAAAACTAATCACGATCTTTCCGCTTGTCGGTGAAGTGCACAATGGACTCGTTTACTTAACCATTATTTGGGCAGTCTTTGGCACGGTGATGATAGCACTTGTTGGGGTCAAGCTCCCAGGACTCAAGGTCCAAAACGAATTAGTGGAGGCAGCCTACAGGAAGGAGCTTGTTCTAGGGGAGGATCGCGCAGAGCGCGCGGACATGCAAGTTTGCGATTCACTCTTTGATGGCATTCGTACGATCAATTTCCGCATTTACTTAAATTACACGTACTTTGACGCGGCCAAATGGTGTTACTTGCATTTCGGCGGTTTCATTCCTTACTTGGCGCTTGGGCCCACAATTGTGGCTGCAGGCTTCACATATGGGCAGATGCAGCAGATTACGCATGCTTTCGGTAAGGTTGAGGGATCATTCCAGTTCTTGGTTCGCAGTTGGAGTACGATTGTTGATTTGATATCAGTCCATACACGCCTAACTGCATTTGAAGTTGCTTCATATGACGGCAAAGACACCGATAAAGGTATCCCGCTAAAGGACAGCATTGAATTGAATACCGTCCTGGAGGTATAAGGACACATGCGTCGGACCTTTTCTCAGGTGTTCATGTTTACGTGCATATGTGTAGATCGGTGTGTCGATTTGCAAACAGGTATATGCCGATGCATACGCACATAGCTGTACAGGTATGTACGCACAACCATAGATGATAGACACATCCGTACGAAACGGCATTGACGCTTCGCGCCATGCACCTTGGTCCTTTAAGTTTTGCACGGGTGGAATGCGAGATATCTAGCTGGAGAGAGTGACAGAGAGAGAGAGAGAGAGGGAGCGATGTGATATGTCCTTGCCTCCGTCTCCGCGCTGTCGTTATCTTTTCTATGTTATTTCCTTTTTTATGTTGTTTCTGTTATCTTCCTCGTTCTCGCCATTCTCTGCGAACCCTTCGTCGTATTTTAGTTGCGGACCCGTCTTCATTTTTTGCGGAGATTCCTCCTTGAGGGAGTTCTTGGGGCCCCTCGAAGGCTTCTTGGGGCTTGTTGGGGGCTTCGGGAGGCCTTCCTGACGTCTTTCTGGGGCATCTGGAGGCTTCTTCGGGCCATCATGCTGCCCTTCGCGGTTTTCCTTGGCAGCAGGGTCCCGATTTGGAGTGTTTAGGGGGTCGTCCTGGGGCCATCGTGGGCCGTCTTGCTTGTTCTTCGGGGGCAGATTGGGGCCTGTGGGGCTGTACTGGGGTTCTCTTGGGTCGTCTTGGTGCCTTTTGGGCCAGTCTTGGGACGATCTTGGAGGCCTCTCGGGCGGTCTCGGGCGCCCGGAAGACCGAAGAGCCGACCACTGGAACATTTACAAAAGCCAGCCGAACATAACTGTTTGTTGCTTTTCGATAGCCTCTAGGGTGTGTTCTGTTGGCCGTCTTCGGGCGCCTGGTGGGTGTGCGGGGGGCCGCTGGGGGCTCTCGCGGGTTCATTTGGGCGCCCTCCTGGCCG